AGTCAGCGTGTCTGACAGCTAACGATCGTCCCGTCCCGCCCCGCAAAGGAACCAGCGGGTTGACAGAACATGACCCTGAGTCAGCCCCAGGCTTTCCCCTGACTTCTGGACTCGATGGCTTGCTTGGGTTCGGGTCTGCGCGTGCGAGACGGGCACTCGTCAGGCGTGCCCACCGCGCAGATCCGTGGCCAGGTCTCTGTGTAACCGGCCACATCCGTGGAATCTGCGTTGGGGAAAGCTGGGGGGAGTTGCCCCTCTCAGGCGGAGCTCTTGGGTGCAGGTGGCCCGACAGCCGGTGGGGTGGGGCGGGGGGCCGTGCTGGGCAGGCAGCTTCCAGCCCAGACCCCTGGCGCGGGGCAGGTCGGGCCTCGGGTGTGACTCCCCTGTGTCCTCCCCGCCCAGATAGCCTCCGTCTGGCACGGGCCCCTCGTGAGGCTGCTGAGGAGCCTCTACGCGCTGGCGCTCCCGGCGGCCTGCAAGGAGCTGCAGTCGGTGGAGCAGGAGGTCCGGTGGCGCCTGCGCAGACTCAGGTACAAGCACCTGGCCTTCCTGGCGGAGTCCAGCGCCACCTACATGCAGGAGCGGGGCTCCCAGGAGCTGCTGGCCGAGCTGCTCCTGCACCTGGAGCGGCGCTGGGCGGAAATCGAAGACGGCCGCACGGTGGTGGCCATGATGGCGAAGACGGGGCCCCTCTCGGAGCCGCTGATGACCCGCCTGGAGGACAAGGTACTGGGGCAGGGGGCCCGGGCAGCCGCAGGCACGCTCTGTGGCCACGCTGATGAGCCTGGCGTGCCTCGTCTTCTCTAAAACCACCTTCTGTGCGGGACCTGGGCCGGCCAGTGGCCCGGCTCCAGGCTGGCGCTTCCTGGTGATGTCGTGCCCCCACCCGCAGCCCGCAGTCAAGTCAAATTCAGCACCTGTTCCCATCGTAGCGGGCGCTGGCCCAGATGGCTGCCACAGCAAGCCCTGCGGCTCATGGGCCCCGGGTCCCCCTGCGCTGGGACCTGGGGATAAGTCTGGCTGCAGACAGGGCGCCCCGGGCCCCGGGGTTCCCCAGCTGGGAGCCGAGGCAGGCCCCATGCGGCCGGGGCCCGGGGTTAGTGAGCTCAGGTCCAGTCGCTGTCCCACAGGGGCCGCACAGCGCTGCCTGGGAGCCCTGGCCTCGGCCGTCCAGCTGACTCCTGCCGGCTGTGATTGACAGTGCCTGGAGCTGGTAGAACAGTTCGGCCCCGACGAGCTGCGGAAGGTGCTGGTGACGCTGGCCGCTCAGAACCGGCGCTCCGTGCCCTTGCTGCGAGCCATCTCTTACCACCTGGTCCAGAAGCCCTTCCCCCTGACGAAATGCATCCTCTTGGACCTGGCGTACGCCTACGGTGAGCCCCTGCCACTGGGAGCAGTGGGGGGAGAGGGCGCTCTGGCCGCAGCTGTGTCGAATTCAGTGCCCGCCCACCCCGTGGCTCGCACCGGCCCGAAAGGCTGCCACAGAAACGCTGTCACCCATGGGCCCTGATCCCCCGTGCTGGGCCTCAGGGATAAATTTGGTCACGGACACCTCACCCCCAGACCTCGAGGCCAGGCTGGGGTGGCTGGATGGCTCCCAGGGCGGCCTGCCGACCCTCGCCGGGTGACTCCTCGGCTCGCTCTGTCCCGAAGGCAAACTCGGCTTCCAGCAGCCCCAGGTGTTCCAGCGCCTGGCTGCCGACCTGCTACCCCACATGCCCAGCCTGACGTCGGGCGAGGTGGCCCGATGCGCCAAGTCCTTCGCCCTCCTCAAGTGGCTCAGCGGGCCCCTGTTTGAGGCCTTCGTCCAGGTGAGCGGGCAGAGCCCTGCAGCCTGGGCTGGAACGGCCCTGTGGGCCTGACCCCCTCAAGGAGTGGGTTCCCTGCCCCTTCCATCGGGGAGGCCCGGCCGGCCAGACACACTGGCTGGTTGCGGATCGGGGGTTCCTCCTCGGGTCATTGGGTGCTGCAGACGGTATGGGTGAGGACGGCGTCACCTGTCCTCTCATGACCTTCGGAGGAACCTATGTCTTTGGGTGGCTGTCGCAGGGAGCGGTAGGGTCGGCCGGGCCGCGCAGCTGCTTGAGGCTGTGCCGGGCGGCTCTCCGGGGTCCCAGCCTCTGGGGGATGGCAGGTGCCGCCAGGGAAGGTCTAGGGGGTCCCGGGCCCTGTGGGAGGGACGGGTCCGTCTCACGCTATGCTCCACCGCACATGGCCGGCCCAGCACGTCCTGGACAGAGCCCAGACCGTCCCGGTGCCGTACTTGTGCAACGTGCTCCTGGCCTTCGCGCATCTGAACTTCCGCCCAGAACGGGAGGACCAGTTCTTCCGCCTGGTACGCTCTGTGCACCCCTGCTCCCCCCTCCTCTTCCCTCGGGCTGCCGGCTGCCACAGGGCCCCTGGGCGCAGCTTCAGGCCGGACTTCTGCATGGGGGCCGGCTGGGGCCACACGGCACACCTTGTCTGGGGACCAAAGACGTGCCATCCCCCACGCCTGCTGTGTGGCCCAGAACAGGTGCTGGTCAGGACGTGTTGGCCGGCTCACTCGCCGCACAGTCAGGGGTGGGGGACCCCTGGTCTCCGTTCCTGGGACTTCCTGAACTCCCCGCTGACGCTGTGACCTGCTGGCGGGCCTGTGTGCTGTGCAGGCCACCGTGCAGAGTGCATCTACGCAGGGGTGAGGCGTCCCGCGGGTGCACCGGCTTTGACCCTGGGCCTCCATGTGGCACCGCCCCAGCGGGCCAGCTGCGGCCCCTTTCGTAGTCTCCAACTCCCCTCGAGGCCAGAAACACGTCCCCGGCCTTGGGCCCGCTCGCCGTGTTAAGAGAGACGTGATTTCGGGGCACAGACTTGCTGCTGGGAGGGGCCGCAGAACATCCAGCTGAAGGTCGTGCTGTCCGGGTTGGCGCTGGGTGCCGAGGAGGGTTTCTGGTACTCTCTACGAAGGGCTGCCCCAAGCCTGGCCGAGAGCGTCAGCAGGGATCCCCGGTAGCTGCCTCGGGCCTCAGTGTGGCCAAGTCATTCGGGAGCCCTGAGCGCTGCTGGCCCGGGGATGTTGGCGGCCGCTGAGGGAAGCCCCCTTCGCCCGCCCTGTCGTCGCCCAGGTTCACGAGAAGCTGGGCCCAGCGCTGACGGGCCTGCACCCAGCCCTGCAGGTGGACGTGGTGTGGGCCCTGTGCGTGCTGCAGCGGGTGCGGGAGACAGAACTGCGGGCCGTGCTGCGCCCTGACCTGCACACCCAGTTCCTAGGTGAGCGGCGGGCTGTCCCCTCCTCTCCTGCGTGATGCTGAGCCCGCGCAGCCCCCTGAGCTGCCCGGGCATTGGCTGCTGCCCCGCCCCCTTCCTGCGGGGGGCCCACAGACGCCCTCCTGCTGACGCACGTAGTTCAGGGGGCAGCGCGGGGGCGGGGTGCCATTGTCCCCCACCTGCCCCACATGTCCCTCCGCCCCGGTGCCGCCCTCCGCTCACCCGCTCTTCTCGCGCTGTCCTCTCCCTCAGAGGGCAGGTCCCCGAGGGATCAGAGCACCTTCCAGAAGCTGCTCCACGTCAATGCCAGCGCCCATCTGGAGCACCCGGAGTACGCCGGCCCCCATCTGCCGGCCTCGGCCCTGGTCCCCAGACTCTCAGCCCTCGACGGGAAGGTGACCCCCTTGCAGAAGGAGCTGCAGGACACGCTGAAGGGGCTGCTGGGGGACAGCAGCAGGGGCAGCTTCACGGTGCCCACGCAGTACGGCTGGGTCCTGGGTGAGGCCCTCCCCACACTCCCCCTGCTGGCGGCCACGGGGCTGCTGTGAGGAGGGCCTTAGGCCCCCAGGGACGATCCCCAACATGTGCACCCACACGCCTCCCTAGACGCCGAGGTGCTGCTGGACCCCGAAAGCCAGTTCCTGCCCCCCAGGGACTTCGTGGCCCCTCATCTCACCCCACCCTCCGGGAGTCAGCCGCTGCCCCCCGGGGCCAAGAGGTAGGCAGTCGCGCAGCTTCTCCGCCCCCCCCCCCCGAGGGCCCCAGGGAGCATGCTCCGCTCGAGCTCCATGCGCCTTCCCCACCAGGCTGGCCTTCCTGCGCTGGGAGTTCCCCAACTACGGCAGCCGGAGCCGAGACTTGCTGGGGCGCTTTGCGCTGGCCCGGCGCCACGTGCGGGCCGCTGGCTTCCTGGTGGTGGACGTGAGTACCGTTGGGGCCCAGCCCCGGAGGCTGGCCACGCCGGGGTCCCCCCTTCCCATGGGAGAAAGGGAAGCTCGGAAGGTGGTATTTCAGGCCGCAGCTTCTGGGATCCGCTCAGGGCCTTGCAGACCAGGTGCACACCAGCCCCAGAGCGCGCTGTCCCGTACAGGCCAGAGGACACGGGAGTGGTCCTTACCGTGTGACGGTTTGGTCACATTTACGTCTGGGGGGGGGGGGTTCTGTTTTTAACAATCTTTAAAAATTAAAAAGTTGTTCTGGGGTGCCACGGACTCTGGGATCCCTGGCCGCAGGGGTGAGGGCCCTGTAGCTCTGAGCGCTGAGGAAAGTGGGGCATCTTTCCTGGGCACAGTCCCACAGGTCCGTGGGCTTGGGAGCCAGGGGTGCGGGTGCAGAACAGTGGGCAGAGCCAGGGCCCCCACGCCCTCCCCGCAGGTCCCGTACTACGAGTGGCAGGAACTCAGGTCTGAGTGGCAGAAAGGTGCCTACCTGAAGGACAAGATGCGGAAAGCTGTGGCAGAGGAGCTGGCCAAGTGACCGTCCTGAGCCGTGGACCGCGTTCATGGGGGGCCGGGCTCCCCCAAGGCCTGACCAGGGCCACTCGGACGTGTGCGAGCTTGCCGGCAGCTCCTGCCTCCCGTGGGCAATAAACCTGTGATTCCGGTTTTCAACCAGGAGGCGTCCCGGCCTTTGTCCCCATCACCGCCCTCCACTCTGCTGTCCACGTGGCTGGCCCGTCCCCGCTTCTGCCTTCCCTGGGCCTTCGTCCTGGCCGCGCACGCACAGTCAGCACGGATCGAGCCCCACGCTTCCAGCCTTGGGGCCATGAGGACCTTCCTGGGCAGGCCCCTGGGTTTTGAGAATGTGGCTTGGGGTTCTCGTGGCGGTGTGGGTACTGAGCACAGTCGTCCTGGGAGGTTCTCCTGCCTGTGGTCTTGGGAGTGGGGGACCCCGAGGAGCCGAACTGACAGGAGGCACTAGGTGCGGAGCAGAAGAAAGTGCGCTCAGCTGACAGAGCGGGGCTCACGACCCCTCCCGCCGCCCCAGCCAGGCCAGGGGGCCTGGTGTCGTGTGCCTGAGCACCCTGAGCCTCCTTTGCCACCAGATGTTGGGAAGGACAGTCTGTCTCCCTCCCAGTCCCTCGATGGAGACTTTGTAGGTGGAGCAGACAAGAGGGTGACCACTGCTGCTTGCCCACCCCCCGCAGCTCGGGGTGGGGGAGGGAGCTGGGGAGAAGCGCCACCTCCACCCTGGGTCCCCAGGCCAGCCATTCGCCACACCTCCAGAGGGGTCTCTTCCCGAAACTCAGCTCACCCAGGTGTGGGGGTGGACGGGAGCTGTCGGACACATTCGTGCAGGCTGGTGGCCGTCCATCACCAGGTGGGAGGGCACAGCCACGGTGGCCCGAGCAAGGTGCGGGAGCCAGGAGGACATGCCACGGTGAAGGACTGCCGTGGGCAGGTGCCAGGGCCTCTGGGAGGGCCCGCTGAGGACACACGAGCTCATCCTGTGCACCGCTCAGGCCCACCGGCCTCCACGGGAGACGCTCTGGTCCCTTTGCACTCATGAGAAGGGACGTGGTATCTGTGTCCTTCCAGTTTCCTCATTGGTGACCTCTCGTAGCACTGGGGGGTGTCGCACCAGGACGCTGACAGGGATGGGAGTCCCCAGACAGGACCCCTGTGCTCTCTATACCCACGCCTCCCCCTCGCTGGCTGCCACCCCTGTTCTCCATTCCTACCCTGGCTAAAAGAGCTTCCTATAGAGGAATCTGACCATGTGGCCCTCTGGCTGGATCCGCACTAGCTCCCGGGGCTCATGCGAGCGTTCCCTGTGCGGGTCCTGACCTGCCCCTGCAGTTAGATGGCTCAGCCCCACCCACAAGGATGGCGGGACCCCAGTCCTCAGATAAACACCCGGGAGCTCGGCTGTTCCTGTCGTCCGACGTTCCCGCCAGCAGAGTGAGGAGCCCTGAGGTCCCCCCCATGCTCGCCATGCGGTGTCCTCACAGATGTGGCTAGGATTCTGGAAGTTGGTGCGTCTCCCCGTGGCTAGTGCTGGGGAGCACGTCTTCGTTCTAGCCGGCTGGATGTGCGTTTCCACGACAACCAGTGATCTCTTCATCCTCACCCGTGCTTACTGTCCATTGGCGTCATCTTTGGAGGAATGCCTATTCCGATTCTGTGTCTCGGTTTCACTTAGGTCGTCTGAGTTGTAAGAGTATGTTGTAGAAGCCAGTCCCTTGTTGGAGAAGGGATTTGCAAATGCTTATTCCCATTTTGTGGGTTGTATTTTCACTTTCTGGATGGCGACCTTGCAGCAACAAAAGATTTAAGTTTCTGGGAGGTCCGCTCTTTTGTCTTTTGCTTGTGCTTTGGAGGGTCATATCCAAAAATCCTTTGGTGAATCTAGGTCCTGAAAGTATGCCCATTTTCTTCCAAGAATTTTATCATCTTGACCTTAGGTTATTACCTATTTTGAGTTAATTTTTGTATTTGTTACGTGCTTAGTGTCAACTTCATCCTTTTGCATGTGACTCTCCAGTTATCCCAACACCATTATTGGGAAGATAGTTCTTTTCTCGTTGTATGGTCTTGGCACCTTGGTTGAAACTCAGTTGGCCACAGATGTCTGGGGTTATTTCTGGGCTCAGTATCCCTCTGTTTCTTGCTTGTTGCTTTGTAGGACATTTGAAGTTAGAAAGTGTGAGTCCTAGACTACATCAAAATAAAAAGCTTCTGCACGGTGAGGGAAACAGCCAACAAAACTAAAAGCCTGCAGAATGGGTGGAGATACTTGCAGATGATATATCCAATAAAGGATTAGTGTCTAAAGTATATAAAGAACTTACTCAACACCCAAAAAAAAAAAAACCTTACAGTTTAAAAATGGTCAGAAGACATGAACAGACATTTCTCCAAAGAAGACAACCATATCGCCAACAGACACATGAAAAGATGCTCCACATCACTGATCATCAGGGAAATGCAAATCAAAACCACAATGAGGTACCACCTCATACCTGTCAGAATGGCTAAAATTAACAAAACGGGGAACAACAGCTGTTGGGAGGATGTGGAGAAAGGAACCCTCATGCACTGTTGGTGGAAATGCAAGCTGGTGCAGCCACTCCGGGAAACAGTGTGGTTTCCTCAGAAAGTTAAAGGTAGAGCCATCCTACATCCCAGCAATTGCACTACTAGGCATTTACTCAAAAAAGACAAAAGCACGAATTCAAAGGGATACATGCACTCCTATGTTTATTGCAGCATTATTTACAATAGCCAAACTGGAAGCAGCCCAAGTGTCCATTGCCTGATGAATGGATAAAGAAAATGGTGTATATATATTCAATGGGATATTATTCAGCCATAAAAAAAGAACTCTTGCCATTTGCAATGATGTGAATGGAGCTAGAGGATACGCTAACTGAACTAAGAAAGACACCATAGGATTTCACTCCTATGTGGAATTTAAAAAAGGAAAAGAGACAAACCAAAAAAGACTCCTCCTAACTATAGAGAACAAATATGTACCTGAGGGGAGGTGGCCAGAGGATGGGGGAAGTAGGTGAAGGGCCAAGTACACTTTTCTTGAGGAGCACTGAGCGATTTAGAAGCATTGACTCACTTACACTGTATGCCTGAAAATACAACACATTTAACTACACTGGAATTTGTTAAAATGTGAGTCCTAATGGATTCTACATTTTCAAGGTTGCTTTGACTATTCTGGGTCCCTTGTAATTGCATATGAATTTTAGAAGTAGCCTATCAATTCTTACAAAGAAGTAGTCAGGATTCTGATAGGAATAGCAAGGAAGCCTTAGATCAGTTTGGGGAGTGCTTTCTGAACCACCTTAGGCCTTCTGATCCATGAATATGGGATGTTTGCCCATTTATTTAGACATTCCTTAATTTCAACAGTGTTTTGTAATTTTCAGAGTATAAATTTTGAGCGTCCTTTGCTAAACTGATTCCTAAGGACTATTTTTTGGTGTCATTATGAATGGCATTTTCTTTATTTCAATTTTGGATTATTACAGATTTATAGAGATACAATTGAATCTTTACCCAAAGTATAATTCACATACAATATCCTGTTAGTTTCAGGTGATGTCATTTGTATACATTATGAAATGGTCCCCATGAGTCTACTTACCATCTGTCACCAAAGTTATTAGAATATTATTGACCGTATTCTCTATGCTGTACATTACATACTTGTGACTTACTTATTTTCTAACTGGAAGTTTTATGCCTTTAATCCCCTTCATCTATATAACCCCCTCCCCATCCCTCCCTCCTCTGGTAACCAGCAGTTTTATCTTTGAAGCTGTTGTCATGTTGTGTTTTGGGTTTTAGATTTTTTACAATTTGTTTTGTAGTTTCTCAAGGAACCTCCACTCCATGGAGTGGCTGCACCAATTTGTGTTCCCACCAACATTGCACAAGTGTCCCAGTTTCTCCACGTCCTTGCCAACACTCGTCATAATATTTTTTTCTTTTTGATATTAGCAATTCTGACAGGTGTGAGGTGGTATCTCATTGTGGTTTTGATTTGTATTTCCCTGATGATGAGTGATGTGGAGCATCTTTTCATGTGTCTGTTGGCCATCTGGACATCTTCTTTGGAGAAATATCTATTCAAATCCTCTGTCAATTTTTAAATCACGGTATTTGTTGTTGGGTTTGTTTTTTTTTTTTAGATTTTATTTATTTATTTGACAGAGAGATAGCAAGAACACAAGCAGGGGGAGTGGGAGAGGGAGAAGCAGGGAGCCTGATATGGGGCTCGATCCCAGAACCTTGGGATCGTGACCTGAGCCGAAGGCAGACGCTTAACGACTGAGCCACACAGGCACCCTGTTGGGTTTTTGGGTTTTTTTTTTTTTATTGTACATGTTCTTTATATATTTTGGATATTAACCCCATATTTGGTTGTGTGATTCGCAGATATCTTTTCCCTTTCAGTAGGCTGCTGTCTTTATGTTTTGTTGATAGTTCCTTCCTGTGCACAAGCTTTTTAGCTTGATGCAGTCTCATTTTAGCTTTTGTTGCCCTTGCCTGAGGAGACTGGTCCAAAAAATATTGCTGAGACCTATGTCAAAGAACTTACTGCCTGTGCTCTCCTCTGGGAGTTTTATGGCTTCGGGTCTCAACATTTAGGTCTTTCATCCATTTTGCATTTATTTTTGTGGATGGTGTAAGAAAGTGGTCCAGTCTCATTCCTCTGCATGTGGCTGTCCAATTTTCCCAACACCATCTGTTGAAGAGACTGTCTTTTCCCCCATTGGATATTCTTGCCTTCTATGTTATAGGTTCATTGACCCCATAAATGTGGGTTTATTTCTGGTCTCTCTATTCAGTTCCATTGATCTGTGTGTCTATTTCCTGCCAGTACCATACTGTGTTGATTACTTTGATTACTTACTTGCTTTGTAGTATAGTTTAAAATGTGGGAGTGTGATACCTCTAAGTTTTGTCCTTTCTCAAGATTGCTTTGGCTATTTGGGATCAACAATTGATTTTTATATACTGATCTTGAGTCCTCCAACCTTGATGAACTAATGTACCAGTCCTAATTATTTTTGCTGCTTTTAGGATTCTGTCTTTGACTTTTAGCATTTTTGTATATGTCTGTTTGCGGCTCTGTCTGTAAATATCCTAGTTGGAGTCCATTGAGCTTCCTGAATGTATAAGAGGTTTTTGTTTTCAACCTAGGAAGTTTGCAGCCATGCCTTTTTTGAAAGTTCTCTCTCCTCCTGGTATTTCCATTATGTGTATGTTGGGGGCAGTTAATGTGTTCCATATTTCTTGGAGGCTCTGTTCTTTTTTTTTTTTTTTTTCCTCTATTCTTCAGCTAGCATAATATCCTGTGATCTGTCTTCAAGTTCACCAATTCTCCTGCCAGTTCAAATCTTCTGGTCAGCCCCTGAAGTGAATTTCCTCATTTCTGTGCTTTATGGATGTTCTCTACTTGATGTGACCTTATCATTAAGGCTTCCTTTACTTCTTTAGTCATGCTCTCCTTTAGTCATGAACATATTTATAATGGCTACCTTGAAGTCCTTGTGAGATATGTCATCTAGTCACTCTCATAGGCAGTTCCTGTTGCCTGCTTTCTTCCCAGTATCTGGGTCATACTTTCCTCTCTTTGTGTGCCTGGTTATTTTTTGTTGGAAATCGGGCATTTTTAATAAAATACTGTAACAATTCTGGGTCCAAGGCCAACACCCCCTCTCCTCCGGGGCTTCTTACTGTTATTTGCTTGTTTGCCTGGGGACTGGCTAGACTATTTTGGTGAAGTCTGCTCCTTTTCCCCTGCAGTGCTCAGCCTCTGGTGCTTTTCCTCTGGGAGGTACATAGGTATGTCCACAGTCACCCTGGCCTGCTCTCTAGGCTGTGGCTTCATTGGCTCTGTGAATCTCCTCCCAGATGCCTTTGACCACAACCTCCACTGTCCCGAGGGCACCCTCGGGTTGAAACTTCCCGATGCTCTATTGCAAGGGAAGTCAGTTCCTATGGGAAGAGATTGGGAGCTATCCACTTCATAGCCTGGCAAAATCTCAGCCAGGGCTCAAAGCAAGCTTGTGAGAGACACCCCCAATCTGGGCGCTGAGCACTCAGTGGAGGGGGGACAGGATTGGATTGGAGCCACGGCCTTGAGCTGGGAGAGGGGCCACTGGATCGGCATATTCAGCATGCCAGGCCCAAGGTAGAGTCTCCCTCCCACAAGCGGGGGCTAAACAGAGAAAGGGAACCCCACCTCGGTCACACTTGCCTGGGACTCAGCCTCAGCAGCAGGTGTCAGGACAGGATAGGAAATGCTAAGTGACTGGGGACCTATGTTCTTGGCCCCAGCAGTTGGGTAGGTTCTCTAGCTTGGTGAGCGGGGAGAGGGGAGGGAAGGAGCAGCTTGGCTCATAAACCACTGATTCTGCTTTCTTTTGAACTTCGAAACAGGGCACCTGGGTGGCTCAGTCACGTCCAACTCTTGGTTTCAGCTCAGGTCATGAGATCAAGCCCCACATTAGGCTCTGCACTCTGTGCAGAGTCTGCTTGAGGTTCTCTCCCTCTGCCCCTCCTCCCATACACATGTGCTCTCTCTCTCTCTCTCAAATAAATAAATCTTTAAAAAAATAAATAACTTGGCACCCATTTTCTTCAATAGCTCTTTCTTCATTTGTTTGCCCATCAGACCATTTCCAAGAGCTTTAACTGTTTGTTGTATTATTTCTACCAGTTTCACTGGGAAGCTGGCCAGTGGAGCGCCTCGTGCTTTCATTCTAGAAGTCTGGCTGCCCTTAATTCTTTTCTTGCCTCACTGTGGGGTTAGAACCCGCAGCCCTGTGTTGAAAACAGGGGCAGGAGCTGATGCCCTTTTCTTGCCTCAGCCCTAGAGAGCATTCAGTCTTTCACCATCAAGCACAGTGTTGGCTGTAAGGCTTTTGCATATGATCTTAATCAAGTTCATTTTAACTTGCTGAGAAGTTTTTAGCAATCTGAATGGCTGTTGGATTATGTCATATGGGTTATGTGTCATTCAATACGATCACATAATTTTTCTTCTTTAGCTTGTTGGTATGGTGGATTATACGAAATGCTTTTCAAATGTTGAACCGTCCATGCACACCTGGAATAAATTCCATCTGGTCATGGTTGTATAATTCTTTTTATACAATGTCAGATTTGATATGCCAATATTTTATTGAGATTTTTTGTGCCTAAGTTCATGGGAGATATTGTCTGTAGTTTCTTGTTTTTTGTTTGTTTCTGGTACTGTCTTTGGTTTGGGTAGTATTTAAATTTGTCTCAGGAAATGAGTTAGGATGTGTTCCTTCATCTTCTGTTTTCTAGAAGAAATTGCTTAAAATTGATGTTAATTCTACTTTACATGCTTGGTAGAATTCTTCAGTGAAATCATCTGGGCCTGAACATTTCTTTGGGGAAGGTTTTAAATGAAAAATTCAATTTCTTTCATGGTTCCAGGACTGTTCAGATTATCTACTTCATTTTGCTTGCTCGAATTTGGTAGATTTTAATTTTCTTCTTGCCTCCAGAGATTTCAAACATCACTCTGGCACTCCCAGAAACAGAACCTTACCAGCCGTCTGGGCATCCTGTGGCCCAGTCAGGCTGACACAGAATTAAGCATCCAGCTGCCAGGGCACTTCTGATACTGGGCATTTGTGTCTTCTCTCTTCTTAAGGTTGTCAGTCTTGCTAGGGGTTTGTCAATCTTATTAAATTCTTCTCAGAACCATTTTGTTTGTTTCATTGATTTCCTATTTTCAATTTCATTGATTTCTGCTCTTGACTTTATTATTTCCTTCTTTCTGCTTGTTTTGATTTTATTTTGCTCTTCTTTTCCTATTAGGAAAAGAAGGAATTTCAATGATTTTGAGGTCTTGCCTCTTTCTGATGTGCTATAAATATCCCTCTCACCACTGCTTTAGCTGTAGACCACATACTTTGATGTTTTGTATTATTTTTATTTGGTTCAGTTCTGTGTTTTTAAAAAAACGCCCCGAGGTACTTCCCCTTTGACCTATGGATCATTTACAAGGGTGTGGTTTTCTTCCCAGTGTTTGGAGATTTTCCTGTTGTCTTGCTGTGATTGATTTTGTTGGAGTCCATTGTGGTCTGAATACAAACACTGTGATTTCAGTTATTTTAGATGTGTTGATGTTTGTTTTATGGCCCAAGGTTTGATCTCTCTTGGGAAATGTTCCCTACTTTGAACATAGGAGCACTCTGTATTGCTGGGTGGACTACCCTGCGGGATGCTGTGGGCGGGCGGATGGCATGGGTCTCCTACATCTGGGCTGGTTTTCTGTCTAGTGGTCCTGTGGGTTGTCGAGGGGACAAAGTGAAGTCCTCAACCATACTTGCAGGTACGCCAGTCTCTCCTCAGCTCTGCCAGCTTCAGCCTCGTGTATTTGAGGCTCTAATAGTTGGTGTGTGCACATTTAGGATTGTTATGTCTTCCTGGTGGACCGATCATTACCTCTAATGTGTCATCACAGAATGTCAGTCTGTCGCCACTTACTTCCTTTGCTCAAAAGTCTACTTTCTCGGATATTAACCGGCCACTCCTGCTTCTTCATTTTGTTGTTGTTTTGTGTTTGATTACTATTCATATTGTGTATCTTCTTCTCTTACTTTCTCCCAGTGCACCTACGTCACTGAATTTGAAGTGACTTTCCTATAAACAGCATATAGTTCAGTCTGCCTTTTTTGTCCACTCTGCCAGTCTTTGCCTCCTAATCTGTGAGTATACGTTTTAACGTATTTAATGTAATTTGTATATTTAGCCTATTTACGTTTATGTGTGTTAAGGCCAAAAGTCTGCCATTTTGTTATTTGTCTTCTCATTTGCCTCTGTTTCTTGTTCTTTTGTTTCTCTCATCTTGCTTTCCTGTGGACTCTGAACATTTTTTTACAAAATTTTATTTATTTATTTGAGAGAGAACATGAGCAGGCTCCCCGCAGAGCAGGCCAACATGGGACTCAGTCCCAGGACCCTGAGATCATGACCTGAGCTGAAGGCAGATGCTTAATCGACTGAGCCATCCAGACACCCCACCTGAGGACTCTGAACATTTTGAAGGACTCTATCTTGACTTTATATATAGAGTGGTTTGGGGGTGTGTCATCTTGTATTGTCTTCTTTTTTTAGGGTTTATTTATTTATTTGACCCAGAGAGAGAGAGAGGGAGAGAGCAAGCACAAGCAGGGGGAGCTGCAGAGGAAGAGGGAGAAGCAGGCTTCCCCCTGAGCAGGGAGCCTGATGCAGGACTCAATCCCAGGACTCTGGGACCATGAGCTTAGCCGAAGGCAGACACCCAACCAACTGAGCCACCCAGGCGCCCCTTGAGTGGTCTTCTTAGAGTTTGTTCTGGGTATGGAAACACACTCGCGTGCAGGTCCTCACAGTCAGCTGCCCGCAGTGTGTGCACTTCAGGTTACGTGTGCATACTGCTTCCATGTTGGTTGCTTTGCCATCCCTGCTTTTCAGTATCCTCTCGAATGTCAGCTGGTGTTAACACTTGTTTCTCTCATCACACGTGCCACCAGGCACTCAGGAGAAGGAGTGCCCACTGTTGTGCCCGTCTCTCTGCCCTTCCCATGCTCCTTCTTCCCTCCCAATGCCCAAGAGGCCACCCTTATCATGTCCATCCTTGTGGAGAGACGCGCTATACCTGGGCTTGCGGGGCAGTCTGCCAGGGCTGGAGCCTTCAGTGTCCCCTGGCTCAGAGTGCATTTCTCCTTTGTTCTTGTGTGTGTGCACGGGCGCGTGGCTGAAGCGAGTGTCTTCCTCCTCGAATGATGCTCGCTTTCAACACTTGGAAAACATGGCGCCGCTTCCTTCCGGCTGCTGGCTCTGGATCGGAAGTGCACTGTGGTTGTCCTCAGCGTTCCCTGTGGGTCTCGTGCTCATCTCTCTGGCTGCTTCCGTGAAACGTCCTCGGTGCTCAGAAGTTACAGCTCAAGTGGCCGGATGTAGATTTCCTTGGATGTATCGTATTTGAGATTTGCTCAGGTCCTTGAATCAAAGTCTCTCTCTTTTGCCTAATTTGGGGAGTTTCAGCCATCATTTCTTTGAATACTCTTTTCAACTGCTCACCCCTGCCACTCTTCTTATGGGACTCTGGTTATGTGAACAGTGGATCTTGTGTTGTTATCCCACAGGTTCCTGAGCCTCTGTTCAATGTTTTTCCCCAATGTTTTTGTTCTCGTTGTTGTTAATAGGTTGAGTACTTTCTGTGGACCCATCTTCAGCCTCACTGGGACATCCTCTGTCATTTCTGGCCACAGATAAGCCGCTCAGCAAGTGTTTCCTTTCAGTGATTCTGTATCATATTGTGATTTTGGTTTGCTTCTGTATTATGTCTGTTTCTTTGCTGACATTTTCCATTTGCTACAAGATGAACTGTTACTCCTTATGGAACCTCTTCAATTACGACTGATTTAAAATCCTTGTCAGATAATTCCAGCATCTCCACCTCAGTTTGGGCATCAGTTGATTACTCTTTCTTATTCTAGTTGTGACTTTCCTGAGTCTTGGGTTCTTCCTTGAGTTTCCTGGTATGACAGGTGATTTTTTTATTGTCTCCTGAACAGTCAGGCTATTATGTTCACATTTTGTATTTTAGGAGGTGGTCATCCTGTTTGGACTCAGCAGGCAGGTCCTGGGCTACTCTAGTGGCCTGTGGTTTCAGTGACAGTGGACCGTGCAGAGGTCCCTGCTGGGCCATCCTGGGCCTCTGGATGGGGGCGGGGTATCTGGCCCCTAGGAGGCGTACTTCCCCCCCACACCCTTGGGGCCTCTCGGTGGGGCAGGGGGGCCGGTGAGCCGGTGAGCCGGGTGGGGAAGGAGTGGGCCTCTCCTTGATCCTCCTGCCGGTTCTAGCAGACCCCCCACCCAGAGTCGTCAGTGGGACTCCAGCCTCACATGGGGATGAATACGTCTACCTGGTCCTCTTCCTGGTAGCAGGCTGGGGGTCAGGAAACGTGGTCTCGGACCCCCTTATGTCGGTCTGCTCTGTTCCTCCAGCCTGGGGACCCTCACCACGTCACCTCACTCTTTTCATGTGTGAGAGTTCTGTTTTGGTTGTCTCTGATTTCCTGCGTTTATTGGTAGTCGGGAAAAGCAGAGACAAGCCTAGGCCAGCCACCTCGTCCAGACTAGAAGCCCCTCAGGGCATGCTGAAGGGCTTTTGGTTTCTGGAAAGTGTGTGCAGGCCAGATGGTAGGGGGTCAGCAGAGCAGTGGGAACCGTGAAGGACTCTGCTACGGCCACGGGCGAAGGGCCATGGGAGGAGGCAACTTAGAAGAGCCTGGGAGGTGAGGATGAAGGTGTGGGGGAAGGGGAGGAAGAGGAGGGTCCCCAACAGAGGGATAGATGGACGGATCTCCAGCATTTCCAGCGACTGAGAGGGGTGCAGGATGCAGGGCTCAGGCTGGGCGTGGCGGGGCTGGTGCCCAGCGCAGGCAGGGAGCCAGCTCTGCGGTGCGTCCAGGGCAGCGCCCGCAGGAGACAGGGTTGGGGAGACTCCCCGCCCCCCCCCCACGACAATGACCAATCTGATTCCCTGCCCCCGCCCAGCTCTGGGATGGCGACAATGGCCATCTGTCTCCCGGAGCCGGAGCCTGGCACTGGGCGGGTGCGAGCGCGGGAGGGCCCGGGTGGAAGCAAGGGCACGGCTCAAGGAGGCTCGGGAGGGCTTGCAGCCCTGAGGGGGGGCGCGGGCGGCCGCCGAGGCGGAGGAAAGCGTGGTTCTCCTCTTCCTCCCGCCCCGGTGTCCGGGAGCCGAGCTGCGGGGCGCACGGGACCGGTCCGCCCAGCTCCCCCGGGGCTGCCGTTCCCGCCGCGCCGGCTCCGGTCTCCGGTTTCCATGGAGCCGGGAGGCGGTTGCCACGGAGACCAACGTGCGACGGCCAGCCAATCAGCGTGGAGCTGCGGCTCCAGCTCACCTCCTGGATGGAGGCAAGGGGGACGCAGGAGGCCGGGCACCAGGACGGCGCCGCCACCTCCCCCAGGGCGCCGAGGCCGCCGTGCCCCGCGTGCCGGCGACCCTCCCCAACCCCGCCTCGTCCAGGCCCGGCTTAGGGGCGATGTCCCCTGGGGTCCGGCCAGCTTCCGACTGGTCCCCGAGCCCCCTCGCGTTCAGGGGGGAATGCTGCGGGAAAGGCGGGGCCGCGCAGCGCGGAAGGAGGGCGCAGCCCCGGTCGGGGGAAGGAGGGAGGCCGCCCCCCGCCACGGCGCTCCGCAGTGCTTGGGGCGCACGCGCACGCTCGCTCGGGGCGCCGGGCGGGCGGGGCGGTGCTGACGTCATCCGATGACCCACCCACCCCCTACCCCCTGGCCGAGGGGCGGTGGCCGCGCAGGCTCCGCCGGACGGACGCGCGGACAGACCGGGCACCGAGGGAAGGGCGCACGGTCAGGCCATGCCCGGGGAGGCTGCCCGTGCCGAGCCGCTGCTGCCGGAGGCGGGCAGGCCCGGGCCCCGCACAGGTGAGGCCTCGCGCTGTGCACCCTGCGCGCGTCTCGGCCGCCCTGTCCCTGCCCGTCCCCTCTCCGGTCCCTCTCCCTGCCTGTCCCCTCTGTCCTTCTCCCTTCTCCAATCACCGCCCGCCGCCCCCCGTCCCCTCTCCGGTCCTTTTGGCGCCCTGCCCTTTCGGGCACCTGAATCCTGACCGCCTCCCACCCCCCGAGCCCCGCACGTCCCCGCTCAGGACCGCGGGGAAGGGCGGGCGGGCGGAAACGGGATGGCCTCCAGGAGCCAGAAGCGACGCGAGGGCCTGTGAGCATCCCAGGGCTCCGTGGCTCCAAGCCCACGTCCCACCCTCTGGGCCACCGCCGCCCCATTGTCTGTGAGGAGCTGCGGGCCCTGGCCCCACGGCTCTGGACCAGAGGTGGGGGGTTCTCAACTGCACCCCCACCACCACGGGCACTCGCCCCCTAGATGCCTGAAGCCGCCTCAGGGCCGGTGACTGGTCTGGCCTGGCCAGGTGGAGCCGGACGGAGCTGGAGCCTGGGGAAGCCAGGGGGTCAGGCTGTGAGGGTGGGAGGTCGGATGCCCTGAGGGAGCAAGGTCTGGGGGGCAGTGCCCCGGGGTGCAGGCCTACATCCTTGGACAGGCTAGGTCAGCAAGTGTGGGTGGAGGCTGAGGGGGTCTGCCTGGGTCTAGAAGGACCAGCCAGGGTGGCCCAGCAGGAGGTCAGCCATGAGTGATCCCTGGAGGGCCAAGGGCACCTTGCTGTGGATAAGTCACCTGGGAATGTCACCAGTGCTGGGTCCAGGGGCCTGGCCTCCCTCTGGGGTCCAGTAGTGTAGGTGGAGGCTAGGACTCCCCAGACCCAGGGTCTCAGGCTGCTTGATGACCTTGAATGCTTACAAAAACCTTTGGCCTTTGGCTTCCCTTCCTCACCCCCCCTCCTTGGCCCAGCTCTGCCCTCTCCCTGCTCCAGGGCGGGTGGGCAAAGGCACCCCAGGCTCAGTGCCAGGAGCCGGTCTCCACCCGTCCCCACCCACCACACCCACCTCCAGGTGTTGGGTGTCTGTCACACGGCAGTGGACCCAAAGGACCCCCTTCTTGGGATCCCCTGGCCACCTCAGAATCCCAGTAGTGCGGCCCAAGGGCCCCGAGGGACTGCCCCCCATTGCTGCAGGCCGATGGGCAGGCTGGGGAGGGCACTGCCCCTTCGTAAAAGCTTCACCTCTAATCCTGGGAGATACTCGACTTTGCAGACAGACAGCTGAGGCACGGAGGTACTTGTGGGGTGATCATGGGTGATAGAGCAGGAACCCCCCCTGAGAACGTGGTCGGGGCCCAAGCAGCCCCCGTAACACTGCCCTGGGACCGGCTGGCTTATTCCTGGCGGAGGGAACCCTTCTCACCCCCATGCTCCAGCTCGGCCTCCGTGGGACGCGCAGCCTGAGGACGAACACACAGTGGCTCCGCTTCCCTCCTCCATGCACCAGCTCTGGGAGCAAGAGCGAGGGCAGAGCCAGAGGGCACCTCCAGAGGCTGGCCTCAGGTGTGGGCAGCAAGGAGAGAGACGAGGCAGAGAGGCGAGACCCCCATGCACAGGAGGTGGGAGACCTAGAGCGTCCCAGGGCCAGCGGGTGCAGGTCCCCTGCCCCTGGGGGCCTCTGGCGCAGGAGGTCAGGAGAGGTCGCCCACCAGGCCCAGCACAGATTGAGGGCAGGGGGCCAGCCAGCCAGCGTCCGCGGAGCCAGGTGCTAGTCCAGCCTTGCCGAGCCTGACGGGAGCCACGCTGCCCACCCCCCACCCCCTGGCCCCAGGCTGTGCCCCCAGGGTCGGAACTCGCTGAAATTCTCCCCCAGACGCAGCAGCTCCAGCTCCCAGAAGGTGTCTGCCCTCCTCATGCCCCCCCTCTTTCCACAGAGTCGTCCTGTGATGTGGCCGCGGCCACCACCCCGAGAGGGGACCGGCTGGAGCACTGTGCCCTGACCCCCGGACCCAGCGCCTTGGCCCTGGAGTTTCTGCCCAGCAAGCCGGGCACCCGGCCCCCGCCGGACGGAGCCAGCTGGGATGCAGGGCCGGGCGGCACCCCCTCGGCGTGGGCGGTGCCTGCAGAAGGCAGCCCCAGCCCGGGCTCCCCCGAGGCCCAGCCCACCGGGGGTCCTCCCCCAGCCACCCTGGAGCCCCGGATCGTGATGGGTGAGGAGACCCGCCAGGCGCCCCCGCCATCCAGGGCAGCCCTGCCAGAGCTCAGGGACCAGGAGGGTGGGCACCCCAGCCTGGACCCACCCCCCGAGTTGTGTTCTCAGGGTGACCCTCCTGTGCCTTGCCCTGCCCCAGACCCTGACTCCTACTTCACACCGCCCTCCACCCCCACCGAGAGCGCCTCTGCCCTGCTCCTTGGCCCCGGGCCCCGCAGGGAGGCCCGGGACACCCCAGCCGAGCCAGGGGACTCGCCGCCCGCCTCACCCTCGGGCTCCTACATCACGGCAGATGGGGACAGCTGGGCCTCGTCCCCGTCCTGTTCCCTGAGCCTGCTGGCCCCGGCCGAAGGGCTGGACGTCCCCTCAGGCTGGGGCTTCTCCCCAGCGGGCTCTGTGGCCGACGAGCAGGAGTCGTCTCCCACGGGGCCCCCCGGCCCCCCGTCCCCAGAGTCCAGCGTCTCGGCCGACAGCAGCTCCTCCTGGGGCCAGGAGGGCCACTTCTTCGAGCTGGACTTCCTGGCCAACGACCCCATGATCCCCGCTGCCCTCCTGCCCTTCCGAGGCAGCCTCATCGTCCAGGTGGAGGCCGTGGAGGTGACGCCGAGGGCCCCCGAGGACGAGGAAGAGCAGGAGGAGGAGGTCCCTGTCCCTGGAGGGGACCCAGCCGGGGAGGGCGAGGACGACAGCACGTTCGCGTCCTCCCTGCAGTCCCTGTCTGACCTCTCCATCACCGAGGGCATGGACGAGGCCTTCGCCTTCCGGGACGACACCTCGGCAGCCTCTTCCGACCCCGACTCGGCCTCCTACGCGGGGGCAGACGACGAGAGGCTGTACAGCGAGGAGCCCCACGCGCGGCCCGCTGCCCTGCACCAGGACAGCCCTGGCGAGCCTGCTCCCGCCGCCGCCGAGCAGGGGGCTGGCCGAGCCACCACGCGCCAGGAGCCCGGCGCCCAGGTCCCCGGGGCGGGCCAGGCCTCCGCCGCCGCCACCGCCGCAGCCCCTCACACCCCGCGGGAAGCCCCAGGCCTCCCCGGGGGGAGCCCTCAGGCCTGGGGGGAGGAGGCAGGCTCCCTGTCGGGTCCAGCACCTGCTGCCGCGGGCAGAGCTCAGCCCTTCCGGGAGGATGACAGCGCGGCCTTGGGCCCGGGGCCTTGGACCGCCCCGGAAGAGGGAGCCCTCACGCCAAGCCCAGATTCTCTGCAGAAGCTGGAGAAAGAAGCAGGCCAGGACCCTGACTCTCTGGCCACACCCCTGCCCCTGCAGGACGCAGGCCTCCCCTCAGGCCAGGTGACCCCCGCTGGGGCCAGGCTTGAGACCCTGCAGAAGGATGCGGGCTGCCTGCCAGGGATCGAGCCTGTGGTCACTGCAGCCCAGCACGAAGGACGAGTGACCTTGGAACTGGGACCAGCCCCTGAGGCGAGGGACGCAAGCTGCACTGGAGGCCCGGAGCCTCCAGCCTGGGACCAGGCCCAGCTGGATGGCCTGGAGCCAGCTGCAGATGCTGGGACACCCTGGGCCTCATGGGGAACTGCAGGCGCCTCCAAGCCTGACATGGAGGCCCTAGATTCCCCCAAGCCTGCCACAGAGGCTGTGGAACGCCCTGGGCCTGACATAGAGGCCACAAATTGCCCCAAGCCTGTCACGGAAGCCCCAGAACACCCAGAACCTGCCACAGAGGCTGTAGAATGCCTGGAGTCTGCCACAGAGGCCCCGGAACATTCTGAGCCTGCCACGGGGGCCCCAGAATGCCCAGAGCCTGCCAGGGAAGCCCTGGAACATTGTGAGGCTGTCACGGAGGCCCCGGAACATTGTGAGCCTGCCACAGAAGCCCCGGAATGCCCAGAGCCTGCCACAGAGGCCCCAGAACACCCAGAACCTGCCACAGAGGCCCTGGAACATTGTGAGGCTGTCACGGAGGCCCTGGAATGCCCAGAGCCTGCCACGGAGGCCCCGGAATGCCCAGAGCCTGCCATGGAGGCCCTGGAACATTCTGAGCCTGTCACAGAGGCCCCGGAATGCCCAGAGCCTGCCATGGAGGCTGTAGAATGCCTGGAGTCTGCCACAGAGGCCCTGGAACATTCTGAGCCTGCCACGGGGGCCCCAGAATGCCCAGAGCCTGCCAGGGAAGCCCCAGAACATTGTGAGCCTGCCACAGAGGCCCCAGAACATTGTGAGCCTGCCATAGAAGCCCTGGAACATTCTGAGCCTGCCACAGAGGCCCTGGAACGTTCTGAGCCTGCCATGGAGGCCCCAGAACACCCAGAGCCTGCCACGGAGGCCCCGGAACACCCAGAGCCTGCCACAGAGGCCCTGGAACATTCTGAGCCTGCCACGGGGGCCCTGGAATGCCCAGAGCCTGCCACAGAGGCCCCAGAATGCCCAGAGCCTGCCATGGAGGCCCCGGAACATTCTAAGCCTGCCACAGAGGCCCCGGAATGCCCAGAGCCTGCCACAGAGGCCCCAGAACACCCAGAACCTGCCACGGAGGCCCCGGAACATTGTGAGGCTGTCACGGAGGCCCCGGAATGCCCAGAGCCTGCTACGGAGGCCCCAGAATGCCCAGAGCCTGCCATGGAGGCCCCGGAACATTCTGAGCCTGCCACAGAGGCCCCAGAATGCCCAGAGCCTGCCACAGAGGCCCCAGAATACCCAGAACCTGCCACGGAGGCCCCAGAACATTGTGAGGCTGTCACAGAGGCCCCGGAATGCCCAGAGCCTGCCACGGAGAGCCCGGAACATTCTGAGCCTGCCACAGAAGCCCCAGAATGCCCAGAGCCTGCCACGGAGAGCCCAGAACATTCTGAGCCTGCCACAGAAGCCCCAGAATGCCCAGAGCCTGCCACAGAGGCCCCAGAACGCCCAGAACCTGCCACAGAGGCCCCAGAACATTGTGAGGCTGCCACGGAGGCCCCGGAATGCCCAGAGCCTGCCACAGAGGCCCCAGAACACCCAGAACTTGCCACAGAGGCCCCGGAATATTGTGAGCCTGCCACGGAGGCCCCGGAACATTGTGAGCCTGCCAGGGAGGCTCCGGAACGCCCAGAGCCTACCATGGAGGCCCTGGAACATTCTGAACCTGCCAGAGAGGCCCCGGAATGCCCAGAGCCTGCCACGGAAGCCCCGGAATGCCCAGAGCCTGTCACGGAGGCCCCCAAACACCCAGAGCCTGCCACGGGGGCCCCAGAATGCCCAGAGCCTGCCACAAAGGCCCCGGAATGCCCAGAGCCTGCCATGTGGGTCCCAGAATGCCCAGAGCCTCTCACAAAGGCCCTGGAATGCCCAGAGCCTGCCACAGGGGTCCCGGAGTATTCTGAGCCTGCCACGGAAGCTCCGGAATGCCCAGAGCCTGTCACGGAGGCCCCAGAACACTCAGAGCCTGCAACAGAAGCCCCAGAATATTCTGAGCCTGGCACAGAGGCCCCGGAATGCCCAGAGCCTGCCACGGAGGCCCCAGAATATTCTGAGCCTGCCACAGAAGCCCCAGAATGCCCAGAGCCTGCCACAGAGGCCCCAGAACACCCAGAGCCTGCCACAGAGGCCCCAGAATGCCCAGAACCTGCCACAGAGGCCCCAGAATGCCCAGAGCCTGCCACGGGGGCCCCAGAACACCCAGAACCTGCAACAGAGGCCCCAGAATGCCCAGAGCCTGCCACAGGGGCCCCAGAACATTCTGAGCCTGCCACAGAGGCCCCAGAACGCCCAGAGCCTGCCACGGAGGCCCCAGAATGCCCAGAGCCTGCCACAGGGGCCCCAGAATGCCCAGAGCCTGCCACGGAGGCTCCGGAATACCCAGAGCCTGCTACAGAGGCCCCAGAACGCCCAGAGCCTGCCACGGGAACCCCAGAACACCCAGAACCTGCAACGGAGGCCCCAGAATGCCCAGAGCCTGCCACGGAGGCTCCGGAATGCCCAGAGCCTGCCACGGAGGCCCCAGAACATTCTGAGCCTGCCACAGGAGCCCCAGAATGCCCAGAGCCTGCCACGGAGGCTCCGGAATGCCCAGAGCCTGCCACGGAGGCTCCGGAATGCCCAGAGCCTGCCACGGAGGCCCCAGAACATTCTGAGCCTGCCACAGGAGCCCCAGAATGCCCAGAGCCTGCCACGGAGGCCCCGGAACGCCCAGAGCCTGCCACGGAGGCCCCGGAACGCCCAGAGCCTGCCACGGGGGCCCCGGAACCCCCAGAACCTGCCACGGGGGCCCCGGAACGCCCAGAGCCTGCCACGGAGGCCCCGGAACGCCCAGAGCCTGCCACGGAGGCTCTGGAACGCCCAGAGCCTGCCACGGGGGTCGCAGAACGCCCAGAGCCTGCCACGGGGGCCCCAGAACACCCAGAACCTGCCACGGAGGCCCCAGAGCGCCCAGAGCCTGCCACGGGGGCCCCGGAACGCCCAGAGCCTGCCACGGGAGCCCCGGAATGCCCAGAGCCTGCCACAGGGGCCCCAGAATGCCCAGAGCCTGCCATGGGGGCCCCGAAATGCCTCAAGCCTGCCACAAAAGCTCCAGAATGCCCAGAGCCTGCCACAGGCCCCCCTGGGCCTGCCATGGAGGCCACAGACCCACCCAAGCCTGCCTCCATTGGAGAGGAAGTAGCTGAGGGCCTGTTGGCACCTGAGCAGGGAACCGGTCCCAGTGCCTGTGTGCATGCTGGTGATGGAGCCGAGCCCCACTTGCCCCTGAAGGAGGCCCCAGGGGGTGAGAATCAAGGGGCTGGAGGCCTCGAGTCAGCACCCCAGGGTGCTAGGAAGGCTCCTGGGGATAGTGGCCCAGAGGTACATCCTGCTGCTCGCCCCGAGTTTGGCCACACATGGCCCCAGAGCCCAGTGGAGGAGGGAAGAGCCAACCCTGAGCCCAGGTCCCCCGTTGCTGTGGCCTCAGAAGCTGGGCTGGGCTCCTGCTCCAAGTTTCCACCGAGGTTCGTGCCCAGGCCTGGCAGGGGCTGCCCCAAAGAGCCTGCCCCCACCTCTCCAGCACCCTCTCGGCAGCCAGAGCCCGTGCTGGGCCCAGGCAGTGGAGAATGGGCACAAGTAGCACCTGGAAGCCCCAGCTCGTCCCCAGCACAAGCCCCCAGAAGCCCTGCCAGGGGCCTGCCCAGTGTGCCCCAAGACAGGCTCCTCGTCCCAGAGCCCTCTGCTCCTGGGGTCCCCACAGAGGCAGCCCCATGCCCCATGGCACCCCTCGCCCCCTGCCCTTGCCAGGGCCCCAGGGAAGACTCAGATGAGGGCAAGGAGTCCCCGGGCCCTCTGGGCCTCCAGCCGCCACGGGCAGGAGCCCAGCGGGCGGTGGCTGCCTTCTCAGGAACCACGAAACCTCCTGGGGCCGGGCATCGGGTCAGCCTCCCACCCCACTCCCCGATCCTCAGCCCCAAGACGGCCCCCACGGGGGACACCCATGCCAAAGACCAGGCCTGGCGGATCTCGCCCCCCTGCCAAGTGCCTCCTGGCCCTCGAGGGCTCCCGGCCGCCGAGCAGCAAGATGACCAGGACAGCCTGGAGGAAGGTGAGAGGGGCCGGGGCTGGAGCGCTGTCCTGAGCCGGGGACCAGAGGTGGCAGGTGGGTGGGAAGCCATCCTCAACGCACACACACCCCTACCCCATGCCCAGACTCGCCGCCGAGGGCTCCAGGATCCGGCCAGCACTCGGACAGCCACGGCGAGTCGTCTGCAGAGCTGGAGGAGCAGGACCTCTCAGGAGCGCAGACAGCACAGTGCCCGGCCCAGGTGCCCGGCCCGGGAGGGGGGAGGCTGCACCCCTGGGAGGGCTCCACCCCACCCTCCCCTCAGGTGCTCAAACCCCATTCTCCCCAGGCCCCGGCAGGTGGCAGCAGCGAGGAGACCGTGGCCAAAGCCAAGCAGAGTCGTAGTGAGAAGAAAGCCCGAAAGGTGGGTGGGGGTCCCGCTGGGGCCACTCCGCGAGGGCGGGGCCTGCTGCATAAGGGGACCCTTCACACCCAGGGGCCGTCGGGTCGTGAAACTGCTGGGGCCGGAGCATCCATCGAGAATGTGCCCCCAGCTGGGGTCTGGCACCCACTGAACGCCCAGGGGGCTGGTGTTCCCACAGGCTCTGCCCAGAGACCACAGAGGGTCCCCCAGGGTTGGCGGCAGAACCCTCGTTCCCCCCATCAGTGTGCTCTCTCCCCCTGGGCCCACCCGCTCCTCCCCACCCCAGCCTGGGACCCCTGGGGTCGATGCCCAGGTCTGAGCCCCCCGCCCTGTGCCCCCAGGCTATGTCCAAGCTGGGCCTGCGGCAAATCCAGGGGGTCACCCGGATCACCATCCAGAAGTCCAAGAACATCCTGTTTGTCATCGCCAAGCCCGACGTCTTCAAGAGCCCAGCCTCAGACACCTACGTGGTCTTCGGCGAGGCCAAGGTCTGGCAGGCCGCGGGCGGGGGCGGGGGCCCGGGGTGCGGGCTGGGCTGACCGCTCTGTGCCCCTGCAGATCGAGGACCTGTCCCAGCAAGTGCACAGAGCTGCTGCCGAGAAGTTCAAAGTGCCCACGGAGCCTTCCGCCCTGGTCCCCGAGTCCGCGCCCGGGCCGCTGGTGAGGCCCGAGTGCGAGGAGGAAGAGGAGGAGGAGGAGGAGGAGGAGGAGGTGAGGCGCAAGGACACCGGGCTTGGGGATCCTCAACTGCTTTTCCTGGGGGCGGGGCAGCCCCAGAACCTGCCTGCTTGCCCCCCGCAGGTGGATGAGGCAGGGCTGGAGCTCCGGGACATCGAGCTGGTGATGGCGCAGGCCAACGTGTCGCGGGCCCGGGCAGTGCGGGCCCTGAGGGACAACCAGAGCGACATCGTCAACGCCATCATGGTGAGTGGCTGGCCCCTTCTGGGCCCCCTGCTGCTGGCCCTGCTGCGCCCCTCCCCAGCCTGCCCTCTCTCTCTGCGTTTCCCGCAGGAGCTCACCATGTAGCCGCGGACCACCACCTGACCGCACAGCTCCGCCCCTGCCCCCGGCTCTGCTGCTCAATAAACAGGTGTCTCCTCACGGCCTCTGCTCTGGCTCCTACCTGCCCGGGCGCGCTGCGGCCAAACGGGGTTTGTGAATGGGTGGAGACACTTCCTGGGTCTGTGCGGAGCCCCAGGGGGAGGGGGGTCCTCCCTCCCGTGTCCCAGAGGGTGGGGATCTGTCCCCCATGTTCGCTGCGGCCAAACGGGGTTTGTGAATGGGTGGAGACACTTCCTGGGTCCGTGCGGAGCCCCAGGAGGAGGGGGGTCCTCCCTCCCGTGTCCCAGAGGGTGGGGATCTGTCCCCCATGTTCTCAAAGGCTGGTGGTCCTACCCGCTCATGCCCCAGAGGTGGTGGCGTTCCCATGGCCCTAGAGGGCAGGTGATCTCTCCGTGCCCCAGAGGACGGGGTCTGTCCCATATCCTCAGAGTGGAAGTGCTCTCTGTCCTGAGGGTGGGGTTCTGTCCCCACTTGTCCCCAGAGGGTGGGATCCGTCCCGTGACTCCAGCAGGTGGGGGTCCACCTTCCCCCCACCCCATGTCCACAGTACCCAACCTGCCCAGACAGTAGGCAGTCACCTGGCTGTGGCCCAAGGCGTGGGCTTAGGGACTGGTTTTGGGAAGGAACTCCCCAGACTCAGGGGCTCTGGAGGTTTAGCTGTTGAAAAGGTGTTTGCTGGGGGGTGGGGGGGCAGCGACTGGCCCCCAAAGTTCCTGGCCCCTCCTGGTGCCCAGCTCTGGAGGGGCCGCCCATCTCCTCCATGTTCCCTCTTCTCCAAAGCCCAGGGACCTGCGGAGGGGGGCTGCAGGTGAGAGGGGCCCCTGGAGAGGAGGGAGCGGCTCCTGCCGTCCACACAGGACACTTAGACCCGGTTCCACAGTGTGGCCACCCCACCCCTGACCGCTCGTTGGGGCCACTCACACCCAGGATGGGCTGGCCCTGCCTGGATGACTTCAGCTGTTCCAGATGCTTCCAGAGCAGGTTGATTTGCACTCCTGTCTGGAGACCTACCCCATATCCCCTTAGCTCTGCGGGTCTGGGCCAACTACCAGCTCCCGGACAGCGCAGGCCGGAACCAAGTCTGAGAGCCCTCCTCCCATCCCGACCTGCCGCTGGCCAGGACGCAGACCCCCGCCTGGCCCCCACACGGCCTCACTGTGGGCCCAGGGCTCTGTGCTCCCTCTCCGGGACCCCAGCACCCACCCTGCTCGGTCTGGGGCTTCCCACACATGCTGTCGGGGGTCTCCCAGGGCAGAGGCACCTTCTAGGTGAGGAGGGCGTCTCCAGGGCCACCCCCACTGCCTCCCCATGTGCCAAGGGCAGGGGAGGGGCCCAGCCCAGGGAAGACCTAGAACACAGTGCCCCCCATAAGCCCCCTGGAGACCAGGACCCTGGGCTCCAGGATGACAGGCTCTCGGGGGGGGGGGGGGGGGGGGGGGAAGGAGGGCAGGCGCCACGCTTGGGAACCCGGAGCCCGCACCCAGCAGCGAGGACCTGCACTCGCACCAGCGCCCAGGCCCCCTGCTGTCCCAACCCCACGTCCATGAAGCAAAAGCCCCAATCCCGTGCTCCCGGTTTGCTGCGACGAGCACCAACAGGCAGCCGGCCCCCACGCCACAGCGCCCAGCCCGTCGTGCAGGCCTGGCTCCCACCCCGCGAGACCAGAAGCACGCTGGGACCAGAAAGGAATTATTCACATCGCAGTAAACTTCTTTGAAGGTCTCTGAGAGTTTCGACAAGAATGTCGTGTGCAAAACTGAAAGGACCCCCAGGACCCCTCCTGGGCACCGGCGCCCCGAGGCCGATCCTTCACAGTAGAGGGCGCACCGGTGGGCCCCTCCCGGCGCCGTCAGGCCGAGTCCCGGTCCATGCTGCAGCCCAGAGCCTCGATGTCGTTGCTGATGTCCGAAATCATGCGGTCCCACTCGTCCCCTTCCGAGGGCGCGGACTGGTCGTCGGAGCTGCCGGTGGCCCTGTTCCCGGTGCAGGTGGAGGCGGAGGCGGAGCTCAGGGCCCGCCGGTACCTGCCAAAACTGTCGGTGATGATACCTCGGCCGTCCTTCACCCCGATGGTCTCAAGGAAGTTCTCGAAGTGCTGGCTGTCCTTCTCCGGGATGAAGGGCCGCAGACCTGTGGACACAGGGTGCGCCTGACGCCAGGCCTCCTGCGGGGAGAACGAGCCTGCCCGCCCCACCCGCCCCGCGTCCAGCCCCGTCCGACGGGCACCACACGCCCGCGCAGGTCCCGCGTCTGCAGCGGGTGGCTGGCCCCATCTCCCCCCCCTCGGGCCTGGTGGAACGCACCCACAGGCCTCCGGGTGCAGAACGGGGGCGGGGGGGAGGCAGGCTGACCTCTGAGGGGTACCACCCACTTTTGTAAGAATAAGCCAGAAAGGAACATGGAGCTGGGGGCTGGGGCCTCGGACCCCAGCCCTGGCTGCATGGCTGACCCCGGCGGGGAGGCCACAGGGTCGGCAAGGGCTCAGACTGCACGCAGCAGGCCAGGCCTCCGGCCCTACGTCCCCCGTGAGTGGAGAGCCCCTCAGTGGCTGCTGACAAGGGTATAACCCAGGCCCCCCTGGATGGTGGGGGCAGAGCCCGGGAGCCTCCGCCGGCCCCCATCACGCAGCCGGGGTCTCTAGGGTCAGCACTGTCATGCCCGAGGGCGTGGGCAGTGGGCAGGGCCCCGACCACCCTGCCCACCCAGCTCTCAGGGCCGGCACCCCCGCAAAGGCCGGTCCTCCTCCCCGGACACGGGGTCCACTCCCCCGTGCGCAAACTCCTCGTCCCCCACGTAACCCACGGCAGCGCCAAGCCCCTGAGGAGCCACACCCTGGCCCCCGCGCCAGGGCGAGCAGCTCCCGGCCGCCCCTCCGTCTGGCTGCCCCGGGCAGGTCCCGCCAGCCGCTGGCCAGGGCCTCGGCGCGGGGCTCACCGAGCAGCAGGAACTTGCGGCCGTCCCCGTACAGCTGCCGCAGGTTGATGCAGAACTCGTGCACGGACGCCCCGTCGCGGTAGTCGTGCAGCAGCGCGGCGAACTGCTGGATCTCCTGGGAGGACAGCTTGGTGCGCAGCTGCCACGGCGGGGCAGGGGTGCGGCGGTGAGCGGCGCCGCCGCCGCCCCTCCCCTCCCCTCCCCGCCCCCGCCGCGCCCCCAGGGAGCGCGCCCGCAAGGAGCCCGGGGCGCGCGCGCGCACGGAGCCCGCGAGGCCGGCGGCGAGGCCGGGGGTCCGCCGCGCGCCCCCCGCCCCCAGGGAGCCGCCACAGCTCGGGCCGGCCCGGGGCGCACCGTCAGCATGTAGTCCTGCAGCAGCTCGGTGGCCGTGGCGCTCAGCTCGCTCTCGCTGACCGTCTTGGCGTGGGGCGCCGGCTGCGCGCAGAAGGACACGGGCGAGACGCCGCCCGCGTGCGCACACTCGGGGAAGGCGCTGCAAGGACGGAGCCGTGGGCACGCGGCTCCGGCCTCCGCCTCGCGCCCGCGCCCCGCGCCCCGCGCCCCCCGCCCCCCTGCGGACGCGCACTTCCGGCCGGGGCGCCGGCGGCCGGGGTACTCACAAAGTGCCGGCTTCCGGCTCATACGGCTCCTTCACGTCCACCTTGGTGGAAGAGTCGTCTGTAGGGGTGCGGACACAGGGCCTTCCGGTCAGTGGGCAGGGGCACCGAGTGCCGGGGCCCAGCACCCCGCGAGACGGGGGCCCTGGCGGGGGCACCTGCACGCCTTCCGGGGCAGAGCCACAGGCCCCCCGGGGGGCGCGCACCCACACCGGCTCCCCCGGGGGCGTCCCGACCGGCACCGCCTGAGCGCAACGCTCCGGTCTCGGCAGGACGCCCCAAACGGGGCGCTGGAAGGCGCTCCCCGAGGGCCAAGGATAGCACAAGCGGGACTCGTGGCTGCCGCGCGGCGTCCTGGGGCCCGGTCACTTTGTCTCCTCTGCCGCTTTAGCCGAGGACTGGGATCCCAGAGGTCGGACAGCTTGCCCCACCGCAGGGGCTGGCCGAGGGCAGGAGCCATGGTCAGGGCAGGGCTGGCCCCCAGCCTGGGCCCGGTGGGCTCCACGCAGGCAGGGAGGCGGGACCCCCGGCACCAGCAAAGAGCGCGGGACACCGCAGCTACTCGGGAAACACCGGACGGGTGGGGTGACCTAAGGTCCGCGTGACACAGGCCGTGAGGAACACGGACACCGTTCTGCACGATGCTGAGCTCGGAGAGGCGGCTCAGAAGTGCGGAGTCGGGGAGCGGTGCGAGGAGCAGGCGGCGCTCCTGGTGCCTGGAACACCGGGCTGAGCGAGCCGCCTGCCCAAAACGCTCCGCAGATACAGAGGAGGGGGTGGCCTCCACGTGCTCCCCCCACCCCAGCCCCGGGGCTGTGAGGTCTGGGGTTCCTCCCCACACACACCGCCTCCAGCCCCCGGCCCTCTGTTCTGAGGCAGCTGAAGGGACTTCAGCTGAGAAGGCGTTCCCTGCCCCCCGACGTGGTGCAGGAAGCCGCCAGGCTCCCGGGGCGGGGGCCGTGTCCGCCTGCAGATGGACCTGGGCAGTGGAGTCTGGGAACGAGGCACTGGTACAGAGCCACAGGGACGGGGACAGCAGCGCCACTGCCCGCCCACGCCCACGTACCGCTGTGAAGGGACAGGTGGTGGGTGGGCGTCGAGGCCCCGTCGAATATGGCTCTGTCCAGAAAGTCGATCGTGGACTCCGTGTACACAATCTGGAAGACCTGCCCCAGCAGAGAGCACAGCTCCTCCGCAGCGACCTGCCGTGGGGACAGAGCCGGACCTTCCTGGACAGCGTGCCGGCCACCTGGCTCCTCAGATGCCCAACCAGCACCAGGACCGAGGGCCCTTGGCCTCCCACTGCCCGACGGGGCCACATGGGGACCAGCTCACGTCCAGGCGGCTCTCTGGACCCGAGGGGGCCAGGCGTGCCAGTCAGCTGCCAGCCCTCCTGCTCCCCCCACCTGGCCCGCCAACACCCTGCCCAGGCTGCTGCCCCAGGCTCGGGGACAGCACTCCCAGCACGGGACACGGCTTCACACGCGTGCTGTTAGGGCAGGGTCCCCTCCGGGGCGGTTCTGCCCCTGGACACGGGGAGTGACCAGAGGGGCCTGC